TTAAATATTTGTTATAAATAGGCATGGTCCAGTTCCCTGCAAGCCATATTAATTGAAGTTGGATGGCACTTTTCATTAACCCACCTCTTCTCAATTGCAATGTGACTATGAATTCAGTTAAACTACTGCCAGTTTGTTGATAGAGGTTATAAAAATGTACATATGGTTTTATTGAGCATCAAGTAATTAAATGTTTGACATTTTTTTCCTGTTGATGAGAAGCTAATTTCCTTTAAACAATTTGTTCATCTTATACAAGTTTGTTTCAAATCTTGTTAATACGGTGACGCCAGTAAATCTGTAAGAATCTCATAAATGGCCCATGTTTATTTTAAAAGAGGTCATATGAATGCTGACCAATAGAAGATTCCCAGTACGACGAAAAGAGGGCTAAAGAGCACCATCTGCAGGATCCTCCAGTTGCGGATAAAAAAAGCAACTCCAGATAGTATCATCAGTCCAAGAGGATAAAAGGCATGGCAGATGATGGTACAGAGAGCAAACTTTGATGAATCACTCCATTCTCCGCCTTTAAAGAAATATGACAAATATGAATTTCTTCAATTCTCACATTTCTTTATGGTTTGGTCTATCTAGTAGTACAGTATCATAAAATAAGTATAACAAAGATGCTATTAAAATCAGTTGTGCAAACCTACCAATGACGAATGCATTTGCAACGATTCCAGATGTCGAGATACCACAAACAAATTTGAGAGCAATATAAACATAGATATTAGGTGAGAAACTGATCCCTAATCCAAACACAAATAATATTAGGAGTGACAGCAGGACTACAAAGCGTCGTCCGAACCTAAAGACAGGCAAATAAAAAAAAAAGTTACATTTGTCACTAAAAATAAAATTTTTCATGTTAACTATATTCTACTTTATGCTTATATTCAGGTGATCCTCACCTGTCAGCCATCTGTCCAAGAACAAAGGCTCCAACCAGCAGGCCGGCCATGTAGATAGACTGAGATGCCTCAATGAAACTGCTCCTTTCACACACCAGGTTAAACTGACAACAAAGGTCAAAGAAATTAATAGAGGATTAAATTAAACTTTTCTTCACTGTTAAATTTAGCTAATTTGATTATACGGTATCTAGTTAAGCTATGTGTAATAACCAGGAATATACAAAACTTGCACATTTTTTTTTCACCCACATTGTTTACATTCTATCACTGCTGCAATTTCGCTGCTAAGCTGCTGCTCCTTCATTGTCTGAAAGCTGTACAAAACAAAATTTCATTTTGCATACACTCTGTGTATGTTTAAGTCTAAAAAAACTTGCAGCACTTTGCAAAGATTATCATAAGTAATACAAAAGGGTGAAGAAAATCACACTTTTTAGCCTACATGTTAAAAGCTATTTGTGAAAGAAAAGAACACATCTTCCATTGAAGATTAAAAAAAAAAGACTATATTCATAGACTATGAATATAATCATGCAGTGGAATTTTGTTTACTATAAGTTATGGACAAAACAAGTGCTCAGAGTTAAATGCTAGCTAATCCAAAGAATAATAAGTAAACATATTTGATGCTGTTGACTTGAGAGTGAGGCTAATGCTCTCCTTTCAGTAGGACTGGAATTATATTCAGCAATCCTATTTCTACCTTATCCTATGGTCATGAAATTTGGATGATGATCTAAAGAACAAAATGCTGGACAAGTGGCTATAATGAGTTTCCTCTTCAGGATGGCAGGCAGGGACAGGGTGAGGAGCTCACTATTTGGGAGAGGCATGGAGTAAAGGTGCTGCTGCTCCTTCACCTTGAGAAGAATCAGCTAAAGATTTCCCGGGCATCTGTTCTGGATACCGGCATCTGGAGGTATTTCATGCCCATCCAAATGAGAGGAAGGCCCAAGTACATGCTGGGGAGACTATGCCTTTCGATTGGCCTGAAAATGTCTCAGGTTTTTCCCAGAGTAGCTAAAGGAAGTGTCTGAGGAAAGGGTAGTCTAGGTGTCCCCACCGAGGCCACTATCCCCATATGAATAAGCAGAAAACAACATGTACAAACTTTTCACAATATACTTTACCTTTCAACTCACAGTTGTGACTATTTGTGTTGATTGAATACATGACATTCTAATTAAATGCATTGATTTATTGTTTTTTTCATTACAGACGGTCTATAAAAGTTAGTTGGTTGTAAATCATCTTGTGTTCATCACAACTTACAACCGTTTTGAACTGTTACCCAATTTCCCAGCCTTACCAAATACAAACAGTTTTGTCACCTTATAATGCTTCTTACACCATCTTCCTCATATTGTTAGGTGAAGCAAACTAAAGCCAAAATTTATATGATGAACAAACTGCCCAATCTCTAAACCTTGAGCCTCCTATTAGCGTATGTTTAGCTGGAGGTTTCTTCTACATAAAAGAGGGTTTTCCTCTCTACTGTTGCTACATGCATGCTTGGTGTGAGGGGTTGCTTAAGGGTCAATGAGTCGTTGCAATCAGTTGGTTTTTCTTAGATAGAAAACTTTGAACCAATCTGACTATAAGATCTGGTTGAATAGTCTCTGTAAAGTGCCTTGAGATAACATGTATTTTGAATTGGCGCTATATAAATAAACTGAATTGAATTTTGTTCACTTGTTTTCCCCCTATGCTGTTACTTTTGTTTTAATTCTCTTGTATTTTCAATACAGTAAAATATAAAATCAGTTCTCCACAATTGTTCTTTTAACATCCTACTATATATCTAAAAAGTTCCTGTCTTAAATGAACATGGGTTCTTTTATTCTTTAAACATTGGTTCTGTGTGCTATTTTATGGCCAACATAGAGTGTAAATGTTATAACTCTTTCTGTCTAATCACATGGCTTTCGGCTGAATTTTCTGTAGTCAGCACTTATTGTTGTCAGTCAATCATTTAGAGAGAAGTATCTGGCATAGTGCTGACTAGTTAAAACGATCTTTCTATGGTAAACCACTCAGAATATTCTTACCTCTGTCACAATGCTGGAGGCATCTTTGGATATCTCAAAATCAAATCCATCTGTGCATCCTGATGTGTTGTTAAGTCCGTACCTCTCAATGGTTTCTAGGTCCAAACTTACAGGCGTGAACATTTTACACATGTCAAACGTTCCTTCGCTGTTAACTGGTATGGTGAGATTTCTTTGTTTTTCATCAGTCAGGTTGGGTCCCTGCTCCAAAATCCAGTCAGTGTTACACTGGTGCGGAAAGTTCATACCTGTGAACACTTGGCCGATTACATCGAACGCCACAAATATGCTGGGGATACATAATGCAGCCACCAAACGTTTCTGAAACAAGCCAAATTCCCCGATCTCCTTAAGGATATCCTTAAAGTTGCTCATAACGGTCCCCTAAAGTCGTCAGCAAGTAACAGGGACAAGAGACAGCTTTGGTTTTAAAGCTACTCTCTCAGAATGACTCTCATCCCTTGAGTTAATGTTTAAACAGACAATCTCTGTGCATTTATGACTGAAATTGCTACCAGCCTTTCAGGGTTTTCATATCAACAAGTGTACAGCTCAAGTTTAGCACACTATAAATAAAAGTAATGGTACAAATTTTAAATAAACAGAAATGTAATTACTAATCATAAGAATAGACAAATCAGTATATCTTAGAATATAGGGTGTCTTAAATTGTTCCTCTTTCAGATTATATACATATGAGTAGATTATAACATGCTGTCATGGTTTATTCTATAAAGGCCTCAACATACTGTATTTAGGGCAAAAAAATTATTTTATTCCCATTTACATGAGAACACAATTCTTCTTGCAACTTTTTTCTTAAATATTAGGGCCATATTATTTTCTGTGTGCCTATGTGATTGCCAATCTGTCAGAAATTAGAAATGGGCTTGCTACAACACTAAAGGATGTGGCCCAATGAAGTTGGCTCCCTAGGAAGCCTACTTTTTGAGTGCAAACCTCATTTCTGGAAAGATGTTTGACCTTTTTTTGTGTGCAAGTGATAGAACAAATGTATTGTTCCTACAGGCTCTAATTCTTCAATGCAGAGTCCATCAACAGGTTGTAGATTACAATATGTATAAATCTCTTAAATCTACATTTTTTGGTTTTTGAAAGCTCACTAAATGTTTTTTCCCCCACACTTACTTTGCTTAATGGCTTTACCCGAGAAATTGTCACTGATCACCAATGAAAGACAATACTATATATTATAGAATATATAAGTATAAGTAAATTAAACTAGACTTTATGTTTGTGAAAGCTAAGAATTAAATTTTTTAAATTTTGTTTTTAACCAACAGAGAAATTCTTTCAGAAATTAGTGTTTGCACAGTAACCTGTCCACTTACTTGTTAAAATAAATAGTGATATTAATGTGTCAGTAGGAAAGACAATTTTATATCAGAATCATGATTAAAGTGGGATTAGGTGGTTTTGAATGTGTCATGGGTATAGGAGTAAGGCAGCATGCCCTGAGTGGCACCTAGACTGCTCAAGTGTAACAGTGGGTAGCACTGCTGCTTTGCAGCAGAAAGGTTCCGGTTCGATTCCCAGACCGCGGTTTTTCTGCATGGAGTTTGCATGTTCTACGGGTACCCTGGCTTCCACCCACAGTCCAAAAACATGACTCTTAGGTTAATTGCCTTCTCTAAATTCTGGCTCCAGGGTGTACACAGCGGGAGATAGGTACCAGCACCCCTCATGACCCCACTCGGGATAAAGCCTGTCAGAAAATGGATGGATGGTTCTTTTGCACAATCATCTCTCTTATAAACATTTTTTATTCAAAGTTTAAAATGTTAAAATGAACCCCAGACTCATTATGAAAAAGTAAAATAACCTTTCACCTTAGCACAGACAGGCAGCTACCAAACAAATTCTAACTTGAGTATCTAACAGTTAGCCATGTTTTTGGTACTTGCATCTCATTAAAATATGGCTGTTATGTATGTATATATTAGGAAATAAAGGTTATGGTACAGTATTTCTTTCCTTTTACAGAGGAATTCAAGACTTTCATCTCTATAGGAAACTGAACGGTTGGACAGGGTGACATCTGGTAAGAACAAGTTGTAAAAAAACAGCTGAGTCATTGTTTTAAGATAGATAGAACAATTAACCTGAAAGCGGTGGGAGCAAAGTAACATACCCGGTTTTAAATTGTGACAGCACTGCATAAATACAACTTAAATACACTCAGCCGTTCATGAAAGTCTCTGAACCGAAACCATCAGGAGTCAGGTTTTATTTGGTCGATTTTTGCTCTTTGCACAAAGGTGATAATGATTTACCCCAATGAAAAAAAACAATCAAATGACAAAAAATATCTTTACTTTTCAGTGAATTTCTCAGAAATTTACAGAAAGAAAACATACATAAAAGTAAAATCATAATTAAGAAATGTTTATACATTTGTCTGAGAATTTTTAGTTACCATTTGGTAATAAGAAAACAGAGTAAAAATTGGTTTCTCGTCAAGTATTTCTAAGTTGCCTTTAACAAAGAAAAGCAAAATAAAGCTGAATTTAATAGTCACAGGTAAAGAGACAGTAAAATGTGTGTGAATACAGTGCAACACATTAAGAAATATTTGTGGAGTTTATGATATAGTCTAACATTCATTAGCGTGTCATTTTAAGATTGTAGAGTTATTTTTAGAGTTGCACATTGTTGAACAAGCTGCCTCGAACACATCTTCATTAGGATTATCTGTGTTGTCAGTGTCACTTATCAGCTGAGGATACAAAGACAGCATGGGTTCAAAGCTGATTCCTGTGATTAATGTTGAAAATTAATTTATACAAATAATGATTACAAATTTTGCCAAATGCTTTTACTGTACTCACTTTCATATTGCACATTTATGCCTCAGATTCATCATGCCCTCCACTTGGTGTATTCATGACCAACCATCTGTTCTTGTGCTGAGTGTGTCCAAAGCCCTCGTCATAATTTCCCTTTTCTTTGAACAGTTGTTGGTAGTGAAATATGCAGTAGAATTCACCGTTCAAAGGTGTGTAATTTTGCATGCTAAAAAGAAGTAAATGTTAATAGCAGAGATAATTGTCCTTGCTAGTTAGTTATAAGAACCTTCTTCTGGAAACAAAGAACATTAATAAAGATATTGTTCCTACATTTGCAAAGCAGCATTATAAAAAATGGTGTAGATCATTTTCATTAGACTAACACAGGCACAGGAACTCAATTAAGTAGTTCATTGAAAAAATAAGTTCAGGAAATATGAAATCTAAATCAGTAAATCATCCATCCATCCATCCATCCATCCATCCATCCATCCATCCATCCATCCATCCATCCATCCATCCATCCATCCATCCATCCATCCATCCATCCATCCATCCATCCATCCATCCATCCATCCATCCAATATGGTAAATTGGTAAATTGTGCGTTTACTTATTGTGACAGTTGCAGTGATGGACAGGTTATGTCATAAATTAATAAAATATAGTAAAGAAAACATTTTTTTTTTAAAGAAAATCAGTAACATTTTCCCAAAAATAACTTTCTATTGTAGTAAAGGGCTGATCAAGATGTTTTATTTTATTTTACTTTTGCAAGTAAGAGCTAAATAATACTACCTCCAATGAGAACCCCCCCCCCCCCCCCCCCAGTGGTAATATAGATTATAGATTACTTTAAACCTAAGTTGCCTACTTGCACTAAAAGCAACAGCGTGTAAATTTTAGCCACCAGAGGGTGCTTGACCTGAAAATTCCAGGTCCAGCCCTCCCCAGAGGCCATTGATGGGATTGTACCATCATAAAATTAAACATTCTCCCTCCCTGTTTTGGAAGACCACTTTGGACTATTCGAAAATGATGTAGTTACTTGTAAATTATGGACATGTTTACTCCTCTTTAAATTAAAATCCTATATCATAGAACCAAAATATATCTGACCAGGTAGGTTTATGTGTTGCTGCCTTACAACAACTGTAAGCTTAGTTAGCTCTCATTTCAAATACCTCTATCCCACTAGCCACAAAACCCATTTAAGGATTTCAGGAACAATCAGCTTTTAGTGGCAGTGGGAACAACTCACTGATGCGGCACGCTGTGGGAACACCAGACCTGCTTAATTACATGATACCATTGAGCACAATGTATAGATGTTAACAAACCGCGCCAGCCACGTTTGATCTAACAAGCAGAAACAGCTCTGCTTACATCTGATAAACATGGTGCAGCACTTGCTCTGGTGGTCACCAGAAACGCAGCAGCAGGGGGACAGAGGCCATGCAGCTTGCCATATAGGGGAAGGGAGCCAAATGCCAATTGCTATTGGGTTGACCCATGTTTAAAAAACCCGTGTTAAAGTGCTATTTTCAGTGTGAAACGGGCTTAGACTGCAATAAAAAGCTGCTCTTGGTCACGTGACTCACTCAGTCCACCCCTCTTATGTTAAATAGCCGAGTATTTGAAAAGGACAGTAAAAGCTGAGCATCTTGAGTGCTGTATGTTGACCAGAAATATAATGTAATATATCTGAAATTAAGCTAGTACTTGGTTTACAAGTTACATGGGGTTGTTTTCATGTAAGTAAAATTATAGAGTCAAAAGAGTAAGATGTTCTTGAATTGAGCTAAGAGAAGAGTCAGAAACATAGTTTTAAATCCCACCTTAATTTTTTCTTGCACTTTTTGCAGCAGAAGCATGTTTTGTGAAAAATGTATTTGTCTGCCGTGATTTTTTCCATTTGGTAAACCGGCTTCTGACAGGCTGAGCACAACTCTTGAGACGTTGGTTGAAACTGATAAGAAAAATGAGACAGGGTTCAAGATCACAATGGTGACTTTCAAAAAAAGAATTTATTCCAATACTGCTGTTACAAATAAAGCAGGTAACTAATGCATGATTAATATATACCATAATAATAAAAACACCATGTTGATAATTAGAATGTTTGGAAAACATGACTTGTTATTGTTTCACAGCAGAAACTGTGGATGTGTAAAGCTGGTTACCAGAGTAATCAGTCCTCTCATACTTTTCAACAGTTGCCCCTGTAACACTGCCTCCACTGTCAGTTTTCACCTGGAGCACACTAACCTCTCGATTTTGTTGGCATTTAGACATTTGCTTTTGCCCTCCATTACTGGGGTCCTTTTTACCTGAAGTGGGGCTGTTGCATGACACTGTCTTCATAGTTCTAAATTTTCCTTCAGGTCTTGAGTTCATTTGACATTTCATACAGATTGACATGTCCTGTGGTGCAGTCTCTGTATCATCAGTTTTTCTAGCTATGGACTGAATAGAGACCAATTCAGGTGAAGATGGAGGACTTTGCCCTTGCATTGTGGAAAAGGTATCTGTAGTGGGAGATGGTGCAGCCCCTGTGGATGCGCTTCTTTCTGGAAGAGAACTTTCCTGTGGTTCTTGGGGTTTGGTTCTGCTTAAGCCGCTCTTGTTAATATTGCTAGAAAAGGAAGACCCTTCTGCAACCCCCAGGGATTCTTTGAACAAATTTGATAGACTTGCAATATCTGAGTCAGATTTTAATGTAGACACAGAAAAAAGGGCCTTCTTAATGGTGTCCTCTATGTCCTTAAGTCTGGCTAAAGTCTGCTCTTTTAAGTGTATTATTTCCTCACTTGCACGCTCAAGATCTCCATAAATATATTCCATTGAGGACTTATTTTTTATGTCTGCTGGTAACTGCATTGATTTGTTTTTGGTTTCTATTGGGACCTTCGTTTGTCTCTTCTTGTCTGTGTTGACAACCCAGTCAGGAATGTTCTCAAACACCCTCCTGAGAGACCTCACGTCAACCTTACTTGTGTCACTCTCAATTTCTTTTACTCGACTCAAAATGCTTTCCAGTTGCTCTTGCTTTCTCAAATGTTCAAAGATTTCCATCGCAGCAGTTACATTCCCTCTCACAATCTCATCCATGTGTATGGACAGACGCTGTCTGTTCTCATCCTCTGTTTCTATCGTTGCTTTCTTTTCCTTCATCTCAACTTTGTTTTTTTGCTCTGTGTCCTTGTCAATGCTGTCTACTCTATCAGCAGTTATTTCAAAGGCATTAGATAATGGATCAGCCCTCATTTGGACAATGCCATCTCTAGTGCTCTCTCCTGGTAAGTGTTTTTGATTTTTGTCGCTAGACTGAATAGGTTTCACTCTTTTTGGCTTCACTGGAGCCATCTTTTTCAAAGGCAGCCCTTTCCCACCAAATTTCTGGCGGGCTTCATGGAAATTTATATGGGTTTCATCCGTATCACATATGTTATTTACTGATGCGGTCTGAGGAACCTCTTCCTTTCCTATATTGCTTGTCTTGTGTTGTTCATTTATGTTTTTTATAATATTTCCGTTATTCTCAGAGACTGAGGTCAAACTTTGAACTTCAGATTTCCCTTGCGTCTCATGCAGCATATTTGTACCTTCACCTAAGTTCTGATTTTCATGATTGTCCACTGGCCGACTGATAGAACCTTCTTGATTTAAAATCGGTGTAGTTATTGAGGGCTGGGGCACTTGGAAAGCGGTTTCTTTGGTTCCCACATTACTAATTTTGTGTTCCTCTGGAAGCCTAGTAGGAGATGGCTGATTTATTGCATGATTTGCCTTTAAATGTTCAGGTTTAGGTGGAATTGGAGGTTTGGGGCCTATGACTCTTTTGCTTCTCTTCAACACAGCACCTTGAGTTGCTGTACAGTTGTTTTCAACCGAGTTTAAAAAAGTCTTTCCTGAATTGAGTGGTTCTTTAGATTGTTGTGGAAGTACAGCATTTGCCAAAGCCACATGTGGGTTTTGTGGGTTTTCAAATGGGTGTGAAGGCTCTGCATTTGCCACAGCTAATTCTAGGTTTAATAGTTTTTCAGATGTGAATCGAGGCTCCGCATTTGTCAAAGTCCCTTCTAGATTTTGTGAGCTTTTATTTTGATCTGAAGCCTTTGCATTTTCCTCAGTCAGTTCTAGATTTAGTGGTTTTTCAGTTGGGTGTGGAGGTTTCACATTTTCTACAGTTGCTTCTATGTTAACTGATACTTGAATTGGGTTGGGGGACTCCCCATCCAAAGATGATTCTTGTTGTTTAGATGGGTTGCAGGGCTCCATATTTGCTACAGTCACTTCTTTGTTTAATGTTTCTTCAGTTGGACATGCAAGCTTTGCATATGTCATAGCCACTCCTTGATTTAGTGAATCTTCAATCTGGTTTGGGGGCTCTTCATTTACCACAATCACTTGAAGTTTTGGTGTTTCTTCATTTGGGTGTGGAGACTCTGCATTTTCCAAAGTCCCTTCTATGCTTACTGGTCCTTCAGTTGGGTTGGAGGGCGCCACATTTTCCACATTCACTTCTAGGTTCAGTCTTCCTTCAGCTGTGTGTGGAGGCTTCACATTTCCTGTAACCACTTCTGGGTTTAATGTTTCTTCAGTTGGTTGTAGAAGCTTTGCATTTGCCACAGCCATACCTAGGTTTAGTAGTTCTTCAGTCTGATGTAGGGACTCTTTATCTGCCACAATCACTTCAAGGTTAAGTGTGTCCTCAGTTGGTTGGGGAGACTCTGCATTTGCCACAGGTTCTACAAGGTTTGGTGATTTTATATTTGGGTGCGGAGGCTCCACATTTGTTACAGTTACTTCTTGGTTTAGTAGTTCTTCAGTGAGGTTTGGAGGTTCTGCATTTACAAACCTCACCTCAAGGTTTAGAGGCTCCCCAGGCTGGTATGGTGGATCAGCATTTATCACTGTCTCTTCTAAGTTTAATGGTTCTTTTGTTTGGTGGGGATTTTTGTTTTCCCAAGTCAGCTCTTGCTTTGGTTGCTCTTGACTTAATTTACACATGGGGTATAGATCTGTTGTGTTGTTCTTTTGAACATCTTTTGGTGATGTTTTCTTATTAGATACATAGGAGTGTCTGTATATCATGGCTGCTTTAAAGTCTCCCCTCGTGATATTGATATTGGACCTCTCCAAGGAGTTCAATGCAGCTTGGATTGTACCCTTATAACACGTTTTATCTTCTTCTTGTAGGGATGTTTCTTCTGAAAATTGTGGATACACCATTGCCGTTAGATTTGTTTCACTTTGATTTAAGACTGTGGATTCTTTACTTTGATATGCTTCTGGATCTGTTTTTGACCGCCTGTCAGTATCTGCTATAGCATTGGCAATGGGTATTTCAGACAATCCTTCTGTATAGATTTCTTGAAAACATGACTTTTTTTCAGCTTGGTCATGGGAATAATAAGCTGTTTTTGGGTCAGAAACCTTATCATTCACATTTACAACTTCTGCCATCTCAGGTTCATGGACCCTGTTATCATTTTGACTAACAGAATATGCCACAATTTTCTTAGGATCTTGGACAAAACATGTGTTAATTCTATGCGTATGCTGTGGAAGCAAGAATACCTCAGTATTGCATTCTACAGGAGACTGACTTTTTCCAGATGATACCGCAGAAGTCTTACTATGAATTGGACTTTTTCCCTCAGAGAACATGTTTTTTAATGTTTTTACATCCACTTGTATGCACTCCTCGGCTGAATATCTTTGCTGCTCATGTTGACATTTATCATCCTGTTTTAAAGCGGTTTGATTTTGACTGAGGCCACTCCTGTGAACGGTTGGTTCATCATCATGAAGAGATCTCAAATATTCCAAGTCACCTTTTTCAATGTAACTTTTGAGCAGTTTCACATTAGGTCTGACTGACCCTGAAAAGGATGGGTCTGGACCACTTTTTGACAATAATTCTGTATGTGTTTCAGGTTTTTCATGCTCTGCACCTTTTGGAGGAATGTAAATCTTTACGTCTTTTTCATCAAAATACTTGTAGAGAGAATAAACAATGACCTCACCATATTTGCTGGCATCTTCTTGAATGATTACTCCTTTTCTCAGAGAGTTGTCCTGATTGAGAATATCTTCAACAAGCTGAATTACATTGGCAGTTTTTAACTCAGTGTCTTTGTTTACGCTGAAGTGATGCTGATGAGCCAATGCATCCAACACTGTGGTCTTCATTAACCCTTTACTATCCTCTTTTAGGTAAATGATCTGATGTTTTAGGTTTACCCGTGGAAGCAGCTGCACTATAAAGTTTCGTGCTCCACCTTCAGCGAACTCATTATATTTTAATTCGGGTCCCTGGTCTGATATAGTAAATTTTGATTTTTTAGCAATCATTGTGTCATTGACCTCAATAATTGCCCCATCAGAATGAATGGCTTTTACATGGTGTAGGAAATCTAATGTTTCTTTGATATTTTCCACTAGCATCTCTATTTCATCCTGATTCTGATGTCTAATTTTGTCAAATGGCATTGATTCAAACAGATGTGCTCTGTTCTTTACGTTGGCAATTGGATAGCCTTCCTCTGCAAGACTGCTTTGAATGTGAGTTTTCGATGCATGACAATATGAATTCTGTTGTTCAATGTTTGTGGAAATAAAAGGGTTATTTTGAAAAAGATCTGAATTTGTAGTTGTTTTATTTTTTATTTCTGAATCAGGTAAACCTTTCGAAAACTTCTCGAGTGAGAGATCATTTCCAGAAAATGCTATACTACAGGAAGAGTCATTTGTAGCACTTTGACAGATCCTGTTAACACACTGCGCTTTTTCTTCTGAATCCTTTTCCATGCTTTTGTTGTCTCCTTGTGTGATGATGGCGGAATATGCCTCAGATTGTTCCATTATTTTTCCAGCTATATTTTCCTTCTTAAAAACTAAAGGAGCGTTGCCCTGAATCTCATTTTGCTTGTGTGTGCTTGAAGACTGATTTTCAACAACCTTCCTACTCACTTGAGCATCTTTTTTCACAATCTCTTCCTCAACATCTTTGTTAAAATCTGATGTCAAATTAGGAGACTTATTACTTTTCAACATCACTTCAAATTCCTTAGTTTTAGGTTCCTCTTTTAGCCTCTCAAAATCTGAAGCTGTTTTCCTATATTGCTTACTTTCCAGTCCCCCCTCTGCCACATAGATTTTTGGGTTGTTGTTGCTGCTCAGGTTGCGGCTTTCAAATATCATGCATCTTGAAAGAACTTCCCCCTCATATCCTGTTTTACCCCCAAGCTTAATTTCAGAGCTTAAAACTTCAGCAAACTCCTCATCAACAGCATCATCTAGCCTCTTAAGCTCAGGGCAGGTATGCTTAAGGAGGCGCCTCAGCTCGGTTTTCTGTCGTTGTTGAAATAACATTTCCGGAGAAAGTTGGAGTGAAGTTAACTGTTCAGAATGTGCCTCAGATATTTCTTCCAATCCTGTTTTATGCTCTTCTGCTGGCTGATGAGTGAAGTCATCTTTTCTTTGTTGGTAGTCTTCATTCATCTTAAAAGAATAAAGTATTGGTCTTACTATTTCCATCCTCTTTGATATAATAACTCTAGTGAAAGCCATGCTCCAGAGGAAGTGTTATGGTCCAGCCAAATGTAATTACTTACATCATTAGGACCCATGCATTGCCACCAAGCTCAGTTATGCATCCCACCTGAAAGCGCTCCACAAGGACCTGTGTCACAATAACTAAATTCCCAACAGGGATGATGCATGTGCTGATTAGAAATGACAGGATGTTAGCTGCAGATCCTTTAAGTGAGGAGGGGTATTCATGTCTTGAAATTGCAAATCATGCAGATGTCTGACTGGATTAATATGGGGAATATGGTGGCAAAGTCACAGTCTAAAACTACCTGCTGTGGTCCACAGGCTATTCAGCCATATTTGCTTTATGACACGTAGGACATAGGCATCACAAATCATCATTTCCAACAATAATTAAGTAGGTGGTCATCAGAAGTAAATTTCACAATGGTGACATTATTTATGACAACAGACCAGATGCTTCTGTTGTTTCATTATGTTGTTCCATATTCTTATTGGTGCTTAGATGGTGGATATGGGTCAGGTTAGGCAAGCTGATTGATTGTGGCTATGCAGCTCCATGTGGGAAAAAAAACGACGTCGCTGTATTCTGATACATTTCTATCAGAATCAGCCTTATTGCTTAGCTTTTGGATCAGACCACACTGATCTGCCTTCTCTCAGCATGTGTATAAATGATATTTGGTTGATAAGGAACCCTTGTTGTCTTACCATTGTTATTTGGATTCACTAGAACCCTTGAGTGCATATATCTTTTATTTATTCATTTTGCATGTCAGTAACCATAACATCATTACTGGTTAGTTAAAGCACAATAAAGAAGTTACTGGCCATGCATATTAATATCTATTCCTCTAGAAGCAACTCTGCACCATATTCTGCTAAGTACAAACTGTTTTGTTTTAGAAGAAGATGACGGTGGAGAAAATCTTATGTTATTTTGACAGAGTAAGTTAAAAAGTATGGTGACATGCGACTTTACCTTGGTTGGTTTAACCACCTTTCCAGAGTTTCGTGGTTGAGCTTGATCCTTAAAGAAAACAACACGTATCTTATAAGTCAAATTATTCCACTGCCAGGGTATACTTAATTCAATTAAAGACCCACAAAAACAGGTGTTCATGGTTAGATCCTCCTCAACTTAGACATTACAATTTAAATAGAAAATTAGAAAGGCTTTCATTTTTACTCTCAGGTTTTGAAAATCAAACAACAACTCAAAATCTTCCCATTTGAAAATGTTGTGTATTGCATTATTATTTTATTATATTTGAGTTTATTATATGAGCTATGATGTTTTTCAATTTGCTCAAATTTTCTTTTATGTTTTCTAAACTGTATTCTAGCTGTTCATCTCTTTGTGCTAATTGAAATGGAAACAGCCTAATATGTTACTGTTGTGTGAATAGAGGTATTGGCTGGTATAACTGGATGTTAAAGCATTGTCCTTTGGTTTATTTTTAGTGACAACATGTAAGTGTAAAAATACTCATAGACTTAAGTTCATGTTTGTTTTTTTACATTTAATATACATTTTTTTGCAACACTTGAAGTCTCTTTAATTTACATATTTGAGTTTTGCTTATTACATTTACGGTGCAATGAAGTAAAACTACACAATTTAAAAGGGTAAAAGAACATTGTAGTACTAAATCATTTTCATAACATTTTAAATTTCCATTTATTTTATTTTTATCTCAGGTATTTAGAATTTGCTAATGGTGCTGCTGTTGATAAACAAGGCTTTTTGTATATAGCTATAGATTCTATATTCCGTATATATATATATATATATATATACAGTATATATATATATATATATATATATATATATATATATATATATATATATATATATATATATATATATATATATATATATATATATATATATATATATATATACAAACTAATTCCAATCACATCTTTAGCATGTGTAGTATATACATAAACAGGCAGTAGGGTAAAGTAAGACTGGACACAGTTTACATCAATGTCCTGACATTAGTCCAGACATCTTTTACCACGGGTGCCAAAATCTGTTGTTTATGCTCTTAGCATCAATATGTCGGAAAGTTGCTAAACTTAGCATTTGATAGGTCTTCCTAATGGACAGTTCTTGCAAAAAAATTTTTTTTTTTCAATCACTCTGAAACTTTCGCAATGTTATTTGCTCTGTTTGCTGACACGGGTACAAAACGATTGTTTAATTAATTATGTAACACGGAATATTATTTTTATTTAGGGTTGTGGGAATTTGAAAAATTAATGAATAACAAAAAAATAAAATAATAGTTTAAGAAAAATCCATTAATATACGTTAATGTTGATTTCAATCTATGGCTAAAAGGATTTAATCTGAGCTAAAAGGATAAAAAAAAAAGTTCACAGACTGACCTTTACAACTTTTGGACTGATTGTCACTTCCCGATTTGCCACTTTTGACATATAGAGAGCAGACAAAGCTTTGACAGAGACAGACAGAACTTCTTTGGTTTGAACGAAAGAGTTGTCTCTGGAGTCTGCAGCTGACTTCCTCTTTTCATCTGCAGAGACATCAGATGGACAAGCTGGAAAATGTGACACACAATGTGTTTGGCATGATGGTAAAAAGAAAAATTCTGATGATGGATGCCATTCACTTACGAAGAATTTAAACAGTGAGTCATCTTGTAGTATAATGCCTAATCCTCCAGTGCTAATAGTTATGTCACCAAAGTGTTTGTTAGCAAGCTCTAATTTAGGCTCCTGCTCAGAGAGCTTCCTGAACTGATATTTCCCAGCTGTCATGTGGCTGAGATATAAATGCATACTTGTGCTGGACCAGGAAAGATACATGACTCCAATGATGCAAATACACACAGTTAAAGCATGAGTGAATCCCTACAGCCAAGGCTAAACAGGTTACAGTTCTATTAATAAACCCTAGCAAGTCAACTTTATGATAATAACACGGAGACACACACGTTTAAATTCCAGTAATAGGACAGAGCCTTTCACTTATATTGGTATCCATACTAAAAGTGCATATATGCAATATGTATATATTTTTATTATGTTTATGACAACAGCCTAATCTTACCAAAAACTTGAGACAAATCCAACTTTTAAACTGAGGACATTTTTCCATAATTTTTAATTTCCATCTTCAAAGACTGGGAGCTCATTACCAACAATAAAAAAATTGCAAATAAATATATTACAATGATAATGTGCATAAGGCTGTACCATAAATTATAATTTCTGATCCCAAAAAAGGAACATGTCCATTACTGAAACGGTATAAACATTTTTTGTTGTGAAATGTTTTAAAAAAAAACAAACAAAACACTGTTTTTTTTTTTTTTTTTTATCTATTTTCCTTTTTCAGTTCTATTATCATCTCTGGAAAAAAGTCTGTATTTTTTTTTTATCACAAACAAAAAACTCTATTGAACTAAAGTCTGCAACAGGATTGAATATTATCTGTATGTCCAAACTTGCCTTTTTCTGTTCTTGGGCAAATCCTTTAAACCACACAACTTTAGCTTTTACTTTGAAGTATTAAGACTTTCTATAATTAAAGAGGCTTTTTGAGTTTCAATAAAAGTGTTTCTTTGGGTTTGATATTTAGTTCTGTGATTTTAAAAAGGCAGGAAAAAGGATTATTTATGCTGTACTGATCAGTATCTGAAGGTGTCTTTGAGAAAGAAAACCAGATTTTTCTGAATATTTGGCATAGGATCAGAAACATGCATCATCAACCAACGAAACCGAATTGAATCTGCTTGCTAAGTTTTTATGATTTTTTTTATTGCTCATAACTGAGCTAATAACTGTGATGTAGCAGAGTAATTAAAATTGGAGGAGTGTTGCATGCAGTTGTAATCAGTTCCCTCAACTCTAGTACTCCAAAATACCAGCATATGGCTTCAAGAGTCAATATAGGTCAGAGTTGAATGGCCTGCCAAGCAAAAATAAAGACTCTACCCTGAAACAGACACTCTCCAAAAAAAAAATAACTTCAGACCGTCAAGATAAATAAAATTCTATTCAACTAAAATGTTTTAAAAGATTAAAAGACTTGTAGCAAGTCACCAAGGAAGCAGGCTTATCAGAATCACTGCAAAGTGGTCTAATTTCATTCCCTTTTTTGTCCAAATCCAAATTATACTCACAGAATATGAATCCTTGTTGATAACTTAATTCCTTTCTTCTTTGTTTCTGTTTCTTTTTAAACTTGTGTATAATCTTTAAAATGATCCTATCCTTTAAGAAAGCGTCTGCTTTCCCCCGTCACTCCCTCGTTCTGGGTCATCTGTCCTGGAGACAGCTGACCGTTTTACCCTCCTAAACTTATTCAGGACTTGTTGCTTAGCAGCTATTTCTGTCCCACTCTGTAGTGGACACCTTTTAACCACAGAGGGTTTAGTCAATCACAGCTTTTGCAAAGTCACTGTCTAAATACCTATTCACAATTTCCAGTTTTAAAGATTACAACCACAGCTTAAAATATGTGTATATATATTTTTCTCCTTATTCAAATTTAAGTTGATTCTTTAAATGGATTCTATAAACACCCATAATGAATAAGGAAACAACGTGACCCATGCTCCTCCTTATCTGCTGGATTTTGAACTTACTGTGCAAGTGTGTGGTTTAATTAGAGTCATATGTGGGTCATTACTGAGGTTTTTGTTTCAATTATCAGCCAATCTTGTCTACCTTGATCTTGCACATGATTATTAAAGAGGTATAACTTTTACCTCAGCTGTTCTATTATGCTTAAAACAAATTTGGAATATTTACTTGACTTCCATTTTACCCAATGAGAGCAGTTTGTTTCTTTTGGGGAAAAATTGGGGAAAAAAATAATGCTTGGTGAAAATATTTGGGACTCACCAGCTTCAGATGCTGCAAGTCTTTCAAAATCAATGCCTGCCACTGATTTTCTTTTCTCTGTCTTGGTTTGATTCACCACCTGTAGAGAGAAATTAGAAAGCCTTAGTGCTTAACAGTCACAGTGCCGCTGTGGAGGTGTCAAAACCAAAGCACTGCTACCACCCTGGATGTCTTACACCCCTATCTCACTGGCCCAAAAACCTGTTTAAACCTGGGAACAATCGGATTTTAGTAGCAGTGAGAACAGCTTACTGACCTGTGTCTACCCACGGGTCAAATGACTCCGCAAGAGAACAGTTTTAATCCTCCTGGTAAGCGGCATGTGGGAACACCAGAGCCCGGATGAACGCCTAAATTATGTGACACCATTGAGCACAACATATGAACGTCAACATGCCTTGCCAGCCACGTCTGTTCTAACAAGCCAAAACAACTCTGTTTACATTTGTTAAACATGGTGCAGCCCTGGTAAGAGAGATTCGGAATGATAATAGAGAGGAACAATAAAGCACACTTACTATGCCCTGGCTTCCTTAAATGTTATTCTCCATTGTAAACTTTAGTGATTTCTGTTTCCCTGGTGACAGCATCAATGCTAACCCTGCATGATGATGTCAACAGACACGCATCGTGCAGCTTTCTAGCTAGGGGTTAGACCCGTTTTTTTTGGCAGTGGGAAGGGAGCCAAATGCCGATTGTTAGAGAGTCGACCCATGTTTGGAAAACCCGCGTAAACCCGGTATTTTCAGAGGAAAGAGGCTTTATTGTTTTCTAAAGCAGGAAGTATATGTGTAGCCAAGGTAGAAAGCAGACATGATAATAAAAACACTTGATTCCACCTGTGTTTAATGAGTAAAGTCTGCTCCAAAGCCATATAATAATCATTTGGGACAACCTAATGAAAAATATAAAAATAAAATCTAAAAATTAATCAACTAAAGGTCAGAATCAGGAAACGCTCCATTGTTCGGCTTTGATCAGGCATTAAAGTAGATTAAATAGTTTTCCTCAATATCCATTGAATGCATCAAGGTCTCCAAATACGTTTTTATAAATGCATACAAACAGCAAATTTGATGCACTTTATGATGCAAACGATGCTTAAAGTCTGTTATTCTTATTATTGCTTCCTATTTAGTTTGATTTATAACTTTAATATCCGTCGAATAACTTGTGGCACTTGTAGTTTGATACCTGATATGCGCTTGGGGCGACAGTGGCGTCGGATGTTGGAGTTTGCCCTGAAATCGAAGGGTTGACAGTTCAAGCCCCAACTCTGACTTGCAGTGTCGTTGTGTCCTGGGGCAAGACACTTCACCTGCATTGTCTACTGATGGTGGTCAGAGGGCCTGGTGGCGCCAGTGTACGGCAGCCCCGCTTCTGTCAGTGAGCCCCAGGGCAGCTGTGGCTACAATATAGTTTGCCACCGTGAGTGTGTGCGTGAATGGGTGAATGAATGTAGTGTAAAGCGCTCTGGTCAAGTCTCCTGACTTGAAAAACGGCGCTATATAAGTACTTACCATTTTTATATCCTATTTGCGCAATTCTTTTAAATAAATTGGGTGTCATGTGATTACTTATTAGACCATCCAGTATTTTAATAAAAGGTAAAGATTCCTTAAAATATCAAAGAATGTTTTTTGTTTCACTGCAGATCTATATTTAAGGTAATCTCTTTATGAAACCATATGTTGCCTCCAACTGGAAGCAAGATTAAAAGTTTGGGCTGGTCCACCCAAAATCCAGTGATTAGGGCGGAGAATTATTACATTTAAAGCAACAAAAAGTGTAAGAATTGGCTTTAATTTGTTAAAACCTTTTATTTAAACTTGTAAAATAATAATAAAAAAACTTCCATAGTCCCATGAACAAACTTAAATGACTGAAAAAACTGCTAAAAAGCAAAACTGAAACTAACTCTGGTGGTGGTTAAAATTAACAACAAAGCAACTGATTAATTCTCAAAACTTCTGATCTAAAATGTTTATATGCTGTAGCATACTGTAGCATAATAAAAGTAATAGTTTTTACCTTTTGAGGTGGAGAATCATCTTTTTGCTCCTTCTTAGATTTCATTTTAGCAGGTTTCATCTGTTCCTTCCAAGGAATCTGCACTTCCTCAGCCTCTCCATTCACCAGTGGAATATTCGCGTTGTGATCCAAGGCTGGGTTTCCAGCTCTAAAACTGCTTTTCGGTTTGTACTCTGCTGTTGCCTTTGTCTCGAAAACAGCCTTCAGGGCCTCTATGGACCTGCTGCCAGTTTGGAGGCTACCCACTGATTTACTGCGAGTCAGACTGACTTTGGTCCGAGCTTGTTCCTGTTCATCATTTTTCTTCAGAAGAGAGTCCGGATGAGTCTCTCTGCTTTTCAGAGGAGATGGAGGGATCTGCTAAAATATATTCACAAAACCAATGTCTTGAATATAACTGAAGTAGTTATTTTCCCAAGTGCAAAAGTACTTGATAAACAGGGTTACCTCTTTTAGTCCTGCTTTCTTCTTTCCTTCAACATTATTATCTGGAGCGGCTTGACTGGTTGTACCTTTTGCCACTGTAGTTTGATACCTGATATGCATTTTTTACTCAATTTTAAAGCAGTTTTAACATTTAAATGCATCTTCAATTATCACAGAGAAAAAAAGATGATTTTTGTACCTGGCCACTAACTGGGACACAGATATGGCCCTGTCCTGAAGTCCTGTATCTGTCCAGATCGCCTTGTCAGACTGTGAGGACAGACTCCTCAGAGACAGGCTGCGCCTTAGATCCTTTTCCCATTCCATAGTTTTATCGAAGCAGATCAATTCTTCCAAATGTATTCAACAAACCATCATACAAAACAAAAAAAAACAAGGATTTTCATCAGAGAACTGAATTTCTTATATCAGAATTTTTGCAGACAGCTTCCTTTCCCTGCTTACCAATTTTAGAAAGCATCTTAAAACCTTTATTACATTTTTAGGACTATATACTGTTACATTCATTATCAAAATTTAAGAAAAAATACCTTGCTATTAATCATTATTCCAGAGGATATTTTTAATTTGTTACCTTACAGATGTCATGTAGTGCCTGTTCTTTGTGACAACCAGACAATGATACTTCCGCCGCATCATGAGACCTGCACACGATAAAAGGTGCTTTTGGAGCAAAGTCCTGTTACTTCCTTATTGCCTCTGCCTCAGTAGATTGGACCTGTGACCAAAAACAGCCGACTGCTCTAAAAATCTCTTAAAGTTGTAACACAAATGTGTGCAGACTTGTGTAAATGCGTTTCAAAGAATAAAAAAATAAACTAATGGGAGAAAAAAGAATCTTAATTTTGCTTTTCACATCAATTTTGTATTTTATGACATTCTACCAACAGGAGAATCTTCTTGTTGTTTGATCACAGGTTAAACCTTATATGTAATTACTTGATCTTTGAACAGAGGTTCATGATCTGTTGAGATAAAATGAGATTAGCTTAATCTATTTTGTGGCAGGTGTGGTTAGTTTAGCACCAAAAAGTAAATCTAGATACATATAGCCAAAACAAAAGAAAAGTGCATATATATATATATATATGTATATTTTAAGAAACATGATTTACTCCGAAGAGCTAGTTTTAATGTTTGCATTTAGTCACTGATTAACAATGCCCTTTAGTTGAAATTTATTACAACACCCTGCAGGATGAACTCAACAACAGTCAATTGTAGGTGTAAATGACAGCAACCTGTCAACTGTTCTATTCTAGTCATCAGTTAATCCCAACAAAAACTAATTCATTTAAACTGCTCAAAAAATAAGGGGGACATTAAAATAACACAACCTAGAATTGAATGCATGAAATATTCTCACTGAATACTTCATTCTTTACAAAGTTGGATGTGCTGACAAATCAAACAAAAATCATCAATGGAAATCAAATTTTTTAAAAGAACGGAACCCTTGATTTGGAGTCAAATTTTAAAGTGGAAAAACACACTACAGGCTGATCCAGCTTTGATGTAATGTCCTGAAAACATGACAAATTGAGGCTCAGTATTGTGTGTGGCCTCCATGTGCCTGTGTGACCTCGCTACAATGCCTGGGCATTCTCACGATGAGGTGGTGGATGTCTCCCGATGGATCTCCTCTAGACCTGGACTAAAGCATCCGACAACTCGTGGACATCTCTGGTGAAAGGTGACGGTAGAGGATGGACCGAGACACGATGTTCCAGATGTGCTCAATCTGATTCAGGTCAGTGGAATGGGTGGGCCAGTCCATAGATTCAATACGTTCATCTTGCAGGAACTGCTGACACATTCCAGCTGCATGAGGTCTAGCATCTTCCTGCATTAGAAGGGCGAACTGCACCAGTATACAGTCTCACAAGGGGTCTGAGGATCTCATCTCGGTACCCAATGGCAGTCATGCTACCTCTGATGAGCCCATGGAGGGCTGCGTGGCCCTCCAAAGAAATGCCGCCCCACACCATTACTGACCCACTGCCAAACCAGTCAGGCTGAAGGATGTCTCCAGACTCTGTCATATCTGTCAAATGTGCTCAGTATGAATCTGCTTTCATCTGTGAAGACCAGAGGGCACCAGTGGTGAATTTGCCAATCCTTGTGTTCTTTGGCAAATGCCAACCATCCTGCATGTTATTGGACTGTAAGCACAACCCCCATCTGTAGACATCAGGAAGTTATACCATCTTTACGGAGTCAGTTTCTAATAGTTTGTGCAGACACATGCACATTTGTGGCCTGCTGGATGTCATTTTAAAGGGCTCTGGCAGTGATCGTCCTGATCCTCCTTGCACAAAGGTGGAAGTAGCAGTCCTGTTGCTGGGTCTACTGTCTCCTGGTTGTGCCTCCAGCCTCTGGACACTATTCTGACAGACAGGCAAACCTTCTTGCCACAGCCCGCATCAATGTGTCATCCTGGATGAGCTGCACTAACTGAGCTTTATGAGTTGATGAGTCCGTCTCATGCTACCATGCGTGTAAAAGTACCACCAACATTCAAAAGTGGCAAACACATCAGTCAGAAAGCATACAGTAGTTGCTGAGAACTGGTATGTGGTCCCCACCTGCAGAACCACTCCTTTATTGAATGTGTCCTGCTAGTTGCCAATAATTTCCACCTGTTGTGTAATCTATGGGAAATTGTTTTTCAATCAGTGTTGCTTCCCAAGAGGAGAGTTTGATTTCACAGAAGTTTGATTTTATTGTTTGTGTTTAACATGTTCCTTGTATCTTTTTTACCAGTAAATATTCCCGCTTAAGTTCGTCAATGTTAAATCTGTCAAAATTTAAGCCACATTTAAACCCACAATGAGCATACAGTGGCTATAGCTCTTCTAGTGATTTAGTTCTTCATGTCTTACGACATTTTTATAAGCAGCACAGCTAATTTTTGTCTTATTTTACTGAATAAACATGCTGGGAAATTTGGCAGGTACGCTCATCAAGCTTTGATAAAGGAGACTACATGTGTGAACCTTCTAGTAGTGCATCATTATGCCCACCAGGGGGGTGTTCTCTTACTTTTCTCTTTGTATACAGAAAAGTGACTTTATTTCAGAGGATAAGTCTGTAAAATTGAAGAAACAATACATTTCTTTCATAATAAAAGCACTATTCTCACTTAGCTGTCATGACTTATGTCGATGATTTACTTACACTTAACATTTTGAGGTCTGACATTTCAGCTTCTTTTCAGTTTTTAGAGTTTATGGAATACTAACTCAAGATTGCATGTCAGTTCAGTGAGATGTAAATTTGGATATGTCAAACAGATCTTAACATTCTGACTTTAAAAAAAGAATACAAATCTTTTGATCTGATAAGGGATTCAAAATTGAAATAAGCTTTTAATTACACCTGAGTAAGTGTTTCCCTTATATACATTTGCCTATCAGAAGCTGACCACCTTATCTTATTAAGGACATGAAAAGTGAGGCGGCAGATGTTCACTTTTCTGAGAAATATAATGACCTTGGCTATTTAGTGTTGTGGTATTTGGCAACCCATTCCTAACAGCCCAAAAATGTAGCTTATTTAAAATTGTATGAAGAGGTAAGGACACCAGAGATGCACCAATCTGATACCTGGATTGGGTATCTGCTCTGATATAGACTAATTAGCTGGATAGGACGTGCACTTCATATGGAACTGTTATTTCTTTCTTTTTGCTTATTTGTTAAAGAATGATATTAAGTACATTTATATCTGTGTCAATTTATTACCCTTTTTAAACAATATTTATGTCAAGGATAAAGCCTTTAATCACATGGAAAGATATACGGTTCATCCATTCAACATTTGAATCAGATTCATATTGGATCTTTTTAAGGCAGCTTGTGAAACTAAATATTTAAGTTAAACCAAAATGACTATTATTACAATGCAGGAACTCATAGATTAATTAGAGACATTATTTCTTACCCATTGTATTAAATGTTGTTTTTCATCTCCCTTAAAAGGACCCTGGTAGGAGAAATCCTTTTTGTCTGGATAAAAGTAATCATCTTCACTGTTAAGTTATGAGGTTAGGAGAAAAGAATAGGAAGAAACGAGGCAGCCTATATAGATAAAATAGCCTCTCTAGATATTATTAATTATAATACAGTGTTTCTTCTTATAGGCAAGCTTTGATAAAAGGGACATATGTCTGTTGGTAAGATCAGGCAGGCAGACGTTCAATTTAAGGATGAACACCAAATAATGACACATCCTACCAGAGACTCCAAGAGGGACATAAGTACTTTTTCTCAGCTAAAATTATATTAAATCATATTAAAGTTTGATTCTTGTTTGAAACTGTTTTACTATAATAAGAAGTAATATTTAAAGTATATTTCATATAGCGATAATTCCAGGCAAAAAGAACAGAGAATGCCCTGAGGCGTAAACGCCATCAGGGGACAATTGCCTGTATTACAGACTGGTGGACTTCTAGAGAACATTTCTTCCCTTGTCCTAATACTTATTAATAATACAGGAGGAAAAAGCACAAGAAGTTGAACAAGTCTTCTGAGGCAGGTTTTTCATTACTGAAACATTTTGTCTGTTTTCAAGGACACTTCTTCAGTTTGAGAGATAACAGTTAAGCAGTAGCTTCGCATACTGGATCTACTAACAGTAACAATTGAAACTGGTTGCTCACATGCACAAGTGGATCAAATACTTAACAACTGCCCATTCATAATCTAAAGGACTCTTATTGTTCCAGGAGTTATGCTTGCAACACCAGAAGTGTAAAAGGGGATTGGATCTGGAGGCTTCCACTCCTGTTTAACTGTTGTTAAACAGGAGTGGAGTTAAACATTTTCTCTTTACAGGAATGGCGTCCTTTATTTCTCTCAAACCAGCAGTCTTCCCTGTCTAGGATGAGAACATCTCCATCCCTGAAACAGTGACTGTTGGGATACAGATGAGTGTTAGCCACTGAATCTAGGCCGGATGATGTTGCTATTTCCTCAATTAAAACTGATCGCAGTTCTCCTGGAATTTAACGCCAAATAAAATGTCCATGCCCTGTTGTGGTGAGGGTGAAATATTTTGTGTAAACCAGTTTTTGCCATAAAGTTTTCAAATTTGAAAGCCACTGGGGAGTCATGTGTAGAACATAAACATCTCAGTTTCTCTGAAACCAGCACAACATATGAAACAACTACTGCTCACCCCAATCATTGACCTTAAAGGAGACCGCTGTCTTTTTTACATTGGGCCCTTGATTTTACGTTATTACATCATGTTCTACTCACCCATATGAGTTTTGTGTCATTTGGAGCCGTTGGAGCCGTTCTGAAGATATTCTTAAACAGGAGTGGAGTTAAACATTTTCTCTTTACAGGAATGGCGTCCTTTATTTCTCTCAAACCAGCAGTCTTCCCTGTCTAGGATGAGAACATCTCCATCCCTGAAACAGTGACTGTTGGGATACAGATGAGTGTTAGCCACTGAATCTAGGCCGGATGATGTTGCTATTTCCTCAATTAAAACTGATCGCAGTTCTCCTGGAATTTAACGCCAAATAAAATGTCCATGCCCTGTTGTGGTGAGGGTGAAATATTTTGTGTAAACCAGTTTTTGCCATAAAGTTTTCAAATTTGAAAGCCACTGGGGAGTCATGTGTAGAACATAAACATCTCAGTTTCTCTGAAACCAGCACAACATATGAAACAACTACTGCTCACCCCA